AAAGAGACACGTAGATTCTGTTGTTTCGTATTTTCTTAGATTCTTGCTTTGTTTCCTCGGGTTTGTTTTGGTGCCACGTGTTCTTCTTTTTCCTTGAATCTCGGGTTGCCGCGCAATTTAAACCGGGTTGATTCATGTCTCTCTCGTTTGACCCGAGTCAATCAACTTCTGAGTTCTAACTTCTAACAATGGCTTGGCCCATGAATAAACGGGCTTTAAGATTTTTCTTAAGTCAAGAATAGTTTGATATTAGCACATGTTTATGATTTCGGTAAATTTCTTGTCGTCTGAATATTAGTTGACATTATAAATGCATGGACAATATAATGATTTCTTTGCAAATTAATATCTATGAAAAATATTTTTCATTACATTGATAAGCAAATACTGTTATAGGAAATGTTGCTCAGACATCGATTTTTGATATATGCAAAAGAATAGATTAATGGGCTAATAGAATAATATTCCACTTTCAAATTTGTTGATTACTTACATAATATTGGGTGGGAGCGGAAGAGAGGAGAAATGGGAGAGATTTTTTTATAAATTTGTTTAATTTTTAGAAGAGTAGAGGAGGAAAATGGAAGGAAGCAAAACTTTTCCTCATCAAATTTTAACTCTCATTTAATATTGAGGAAATTTGGAGGGGAGAATAAGTGTTTTAAAATATTTTTAGTATAATGTTTAAAATATTTTTACTTGTATTCTTAAATATAATATTATAAAAATACAATGATAAATTGATTTTTAAAATCTTTCCATACTCTTTGTAAACCAAATAAGGAAAGAGTTTCTCTTTCCTTTCTAATAAAATAACTACCATGCTCTCTTATAGGTGTCGAGTATGGCTTGCTCTTATCGGAGGAACTATACCTCCTCTGCTCCTTCATGAGCCTTATACTGGAAGTGTGGTTGGGTTGTAATAACTTAAACATACCAGAATAAGAGGGGTCTAGATATTTGTATAGATGTGAGACTATACAGTTGAGTATGACTTAAAAGAATCAATTAGTACTACTTATACCAACAAGATCTATCTACTTTTTAGTAGCTAATCACATAACAATTTCATAGTTAAGCATGCTTGACTTGGAATGATTTAGGGATAAGTGACCTTCTAAAAAGCTTTTCAAAAAGTGTGTGAGTGAGGATAAAACATGATAAAAAAAAGTCTAATGTTGATTTGTAGGATCATTCGTTGATTCTAGAGGTAGTCGAACACCTTAGAAAAGAAGCTACCCATAAAGGATTCTAACCAATGAAGAGTTGTGTAAATTATCATTGTGTGAAGTTCCATTGGATGGAGCCACTAAGACATCAAATTTGAGGGATGTTACAAATGATATCACAACAAATCCTCTCTCATAATATGGTGTGGTTTAGGGACAAACCAAGAGGAAGTTGATGGGCTTGTAATAACCTGAACACACTAGAATGAGAAGGATGCAGAGATTGCTACAAGTGTGACAATATATAGTTGAGGATGACTTAAAGGAATTAATTAGTACTACCTATATTAACAAGATGGATCTATTTTTCGGTAGCTAATCACATAAGAACTCCATAATTAAGCATACTTAACTTGGAGCCATATAGGGATGAGTGACCTTATAATTTTTTTTTTAAAAAGTGTGCAAGTATTGATAAAGTACGCTAAAAAATCTAGTGTTGGTTTATGGGTCAATCGTTGATCTTAGAGGCATTTAAGGATCTTAGAAAGGGCTAGCCATAGAAGATTTTGACTGGTTAAAAGTTATAATCAACGAAGGGTTGTGTAAAGTGTCACTATGTGAAATACTATGGAGTAGTACTATTAAGACATTAAATTTAAGGGGTGTTACACAACCAATGTAGAAAGGTAGTATAAAATGTCATTTTGCACTAGTGTGAGTAAATTAAGTCTTTGAAATACTAAAATTATATAGTTTTGGTCCTTCCATCATTCTTTTATTAAATATTTAATATTTTATTGATGTAACATTGGATGATGACGTGTTAATAATGACGTGACAATTGACTCGTTATCTAATACATATGTTTAGGTGACATAACTACCATTAGCCTTTAAATATCTTAGTTGTAAGGGATCTAAAAATTTTAATAAAATAGTGTCAACATATATGTCAAGTAACACGTCATGCTATGTCATCATCTAGTGTTATGTCAACAATGTGTGAAATGTTTAATAAGATATCGAAGGAAGGACTAAAACTTCATGATTGAGATACTTAGAAGACCTAATTTGTGCAATTGAAACACAAAAGGCCAAAATAATTGAGAGACTAAAAGAAAAATTAAGCCATGAAATTAGGGATGTACACGAGTTGAATTGGTTAAGACTTGGTTAAATCAATTATACAACTCGGTTAGAATTCTTACGTTTAAATTGGGTTAAGTGTGCAAATTTCCCCTATCAAATGAACCAAATCAACATTCTTATGAAACTTGAATCAAACTATCCTAATCATTGATTGGTAACGTTAAATCAAATCTATCAAGGTTAAAAATTTAAATATTATTTTAAAATTTCAAAACAATGTAAATAATAATAATAATAATAATAAATACAAAAGTATAAATAATAATTTAAAATAGAAAATATTGTGTCAAACTAGATGGGGGTAAGTCATGGTGGTGTACAAAAAACATCAAAACGAATTGACTTAAAACCAACCAATTGCCACCAAATTATAAAAACCAAATTCTTTTGGAAAAAAAAAATCAAACCAAACTACTTTGTAAATACAATTTGGTGAACTGAACCACGTTTATAAAGAAGTTCGGTTTGATTTTTAAAAAATAAACCATAAATAAATAAAGTAGATAATCAAACTACATTGAACCTATATTTAAAAAAAATAACAATTTGATTTATTCTTTTAAAGAAAAAAATTGATTCATTTTATAAAAAAAGCAGTTTGGTTCCATATTGATTCATATTCAATCCAAAGAACCCTAAAATTTGAAATATAAATAGGTTACTCTATATTATGGATATAAATGAATCAAGTTATTCGTCATCTATTCAGACTTGATCATCAATTACTCATTTAAGATCATATGTTTAATTAAATAGACAAGCTCATGTTTGATATCATTACAAAAAATATTACATATAATTATATACAAAAAGTGTAACTATAGATATAATATATGTAAACATAAATTTATTTAATATATACATCTCTAAAATTTTAGTATTGATTTCGAATGAAATTTAATAACATATATATTATCTGTATATAATTTATAACTATACTTTTTAATAATATATTATATTTATAATGTAAATAAAAATAATTTTTAGTAATAAATAATGTATATCACTAACTATATGAGAATTTTTTTAGTGGATTAGGTTCAATTATTTAAATCAACTGAGTTTAAAGTTTAAAAATTTAGCATTAAAGACTCAAGAATAACTCGATTATATTATATTATATTATATTATAAAAACAGTTTTATATAATCTATTAGTACTAGTAATTCTGAATAAAAAAAATATCTTTCATTTACTATTTATATTTTTAGTTAAAATTAAAAAAGAAGATAAATTTAGAGTGATAAGCAAATGATGTTTCAATTACTTTAAACTTCCCATTGATTTTTCTTTGCATTGGAACTCAATTTTGCAATCGTTCTTCCTTTTCAAATCAATATTTTCATTTTTAAATCTCTCAAATTAAAATTTTATTTCAAAAAAAAAATTATACTTTCTATTGAATAAAGAGGTCTTGTTTCTTCAAAAATAAAAAAGTAAATTAATTTGATTTTTTTAATAATGAATAAGATGTGATTTTTTATTTTCTAAGTTATAAAAATGTAATAATAAAAAAAATTAATTAAATTCACATATTGCATATTAAATACATTTTTCTATTCTTAACTAATTATCTAATAGTAAGATAATTATTAAATATTATATTGATAAGTTTGATTGAAAAGAATTCATAAAAATAGAAATAATTAAGATTATATCAATTTTATTATGTTTTTTTTTATATAAGACAAGTTCAAGTTTTAATTAGACTCGAATAAATAAATAAGGTAAATTGAATAATCATATTTTTTTATCACAAGTCAAGGTCAAGATTCAAGACTTTAATCCAATTTATTTACACTCCTATCATGTATTTTCTTTATCTCTAATTATAAGATATTTTTAACTAAATTACATTCTTTAAAAAACTAATTAATTTAATTATATTCATTAAATATGTCAATATTTAAATTATTATTTTAAAATTACTCTGAACATTTACTTATTATTCAAGTAACTTTCTCTATTTTAATTTTACTTAATCATCCTACCTAATTGATTAATATTTGAAAGAGATAGATATTTATGAGTTTATATATGTATCTTTTTCTCTCATCTTCACCCACTTTGTCTCACAGTATTCATTGACGGTGAATGTTGGTTTTCAAGAATCAATTCAACGTGCATGATTTTCTCAACATCAATAATGAGAGGAGCAGACGAACGTGTAATTAATTTTTGTTTGCTAAACACTTGACAGGGTGAAGAGGATTCTGCTTCTGCCTGAAACATAAAAGAAAGTGCATGATGGGTTGTTGTAGCAGTAGTATGCTATTTAATTACTAACTAATACTCGAAGTCTTAAACACGTTCTATTTTCAGTTTCCAAAATTAGAATCCATGAAAATAGATAGACTAATGTCATGTGTTCAACTACCTGGGGTGGGTAACAACTAGGCTGGTAACACCAAACACCGTCTTGATGGGGACTACAATCCCCAATACTAAACTCATCATTCACATCATCTTATCAAAACATCTTTCTAAAAAAAGAAAAGTACAATAAAATAAACTTAATGTTAGTATACT